CCTAACTTACTCTTACCAGGGAGTATCCCCAATCAATAACTCACTGTTACCAGGGTGATATCCCCAATCACTAACCCACTGTTACCAGGGAGTATCCCCAATCCATACCTCACTGTTACCAGGGAGGGTTCCCGAACAATAACCTCACTGTTACCAGGAATATATCCCCAACCCTTAACCTCACTGTTACCAGGGAGGTATCCCCGATCCTTACCTCACTGTTACCAGGGTGATATCCCCAATCACTAACCCACTGTTACCAGGGAGTATCCCCAATCCTTACTTCACTGTTACCAGGGAGTATTTCCAATCCTTACCTCACTGTTACCAGGGAGGATTCCCAATCCTTACCTCACTGTTACCAGGGAGTATTCCCAATCCTTACCTCACTGTTACCAGGGAGGTATCCCAAACCCTAACTTCACTGTTACCAGGGAGGTGTCCCCGATCCTTACCTCACTGTTACCAGGGTGATATCCCTAATCCATAACTCAATGTTACCAGGGAGTATCCCCAATCCAAACCTCACTGATACCAGGAACGTATCCCTAACCCTAACCCCACTGTTACCAGGGATGTTTCCCCAACCCTAACCTCATTGTTACCAGCGAGTATCCCCAATCCTTACCTCACTGTTACCAGGGAGTATCCCCAATCCAAACCTCACTGTTACCAGGAAGGTACCCCTATCCCTAACCTCACTGTTACCAGGGAGGCATCCCAAATTCCTAACTCAATGTTACCAGGTAGTATCCCCAATCACTAACTCACTGTTACCAGATCACTAACTCACATTTACCAGGGTGGTATCCCCAATCACTAACCCACTGTTACAAGGGTGATATCCCCAATCAATAACTCACTGTTACCAGGGAGTATCCCTAATCCTTACTTCACTGTTACCAGGGAGGTATCCCCAATCCTTACCTCACTGTTACCAGGGAGTATCCCCAATCCATACCTCACTGTTACCAGGGAGGTATCCCCAACCCTGACCTCACTGTTACCAGGGATGTATCCCCAACCCTAACCTCACTGTTACCAGGGAGGTATCCCAAATTCCTAACTCAATGTTACCAGGGAGTATCCCCAATCACTAACTCACTGTTACCAGGGAGTATCCCCAATCAATAACTCACTGTTACCAGGGAGTATCCCAGGGTGGTATCCCCAATCACTAACCCACTGTTCCCGAACCCTAAGCTCACTGTTACCAGGAATGTATCCCCAACCCCTTACCTCACTGTTACCAGGGTGGTATCCCAAATCCATACCTCACTGTTACCAGGGAAATATCCCCAACCCTAACCTCTCTGTTACCAGGGATGTATCCCCAACACTAACCTCACTGTTATCAGGGAGGTATCTCCAACCCTTACCTCACTGTTACCAGGGATTATCCCCAATCCAAACCTAACTGATACCAGGAACGTATCCCTAACCCTAACCCCACATTTACCAGGGTGGTATCCCCAATCACTAACCCACTGTTACTAGGGTGATATCCCCAATCAATAACTCACTGTTACCAGGGTGATATCCCCAATCACTAACCCACTGTTACCAGGGAGTATCCCCAATCCTTACCTCACTGTTACCAGGGAGGTATCCCTAATCCTTACCTCACTGTTACCAGGGTGATATCCCCAATCCATAACTCAGTGTTACCAGGGAGTATCCCCAATCCTTACCTCACTGTTACCAGGGAGGTATCCCCAACCCTAACTTCACTGTTACCAGGGAGGTATCCCTAATCCTTACCTCACTGTTACCAGGGTGATATCCCCAATCCATAACTCAATGTTACCAGGGAGTGTCCCCAATCCAAACCTCACTGATACCAGGAACGTATCCCTAACCCTACCCCCACTGTTACCAGGGATGTATCCCCAACCCTAGCCTCATTGTTACCAGGGAGTATCCCCAATCCTTACCTCATTGTTACCAGGGAGTAATCCCCACCCCTAACCTCACTGTTACCTGGGTGTATCCCCAATCAATAATTCACAGTTACCAGGGGGTATCCCCAATCAATAACTCACTGTTACCAGGGCGATATCCCCAATCACTAACTCACTGTTACCAGGGAGGTATAGTTACCAGGGTGATATCCCCAATCACTAACCCACTGTTACCAGGGAGTATCCCCAATCAATAACTCACTGTTACCAGGGAGATATCCCCAATCCCTAACTCACTGTTACCAGGGAGGTATCCCCAATCAATAACTCACTGTTACCAGGGAGTATCCCCAATCACTATTCACAGCTACCAGGGATGTATCCCCAATCACTAACCAACTGTTACTAGGGAGGTATCCCCAATCAATAACCCACTGTTACCAGGGAGTATCCCCAATCCTTACCTCATTGTTACCAGGGAGTAATCCCCAACCCTAACCTCACTGTTACCTGGGTGTATCCCCAATCAATAATTCACAGTTACCAGGGAGTATCCCCAATCAATAACTCACTGTTACCAGGGAGATATCCCCAATCACTAACTCACTGTTACCAGGGAGGTATCCCCAATCAATAACTCACTGTTACCACGGAGTATCCCCAATCACTAACCCACTGTTACCAGGGAGTATCCCCAATAACTAACTCACTGTTACTAGGTAGATATCCCCAACCCTAACATTACTGTTACCAGGTAGGGTATACCCAATCAATAACTCACTGTTACCAGGGAGTATCCCCAATCACTAACTCACTGTTACTAGGTAGATATCCCCAACCCTAACATTACTGTTACCAGGTAGGTATCCCCAATCCTTATCTCACAGTTACCAGGGAGGTATTCCCAATCAATAACTCACTGTTACCAGGGAGTATCCCCAATCCTTATCTCACAGTTACCAGGGAGTATCCCCAATCAATAACCCACTGTTACCATGGAGGTATCCTCAATCCTTATCTCACAGCTACCAGGGAGGTATCCCCGACTCTAACCTCACTGTTACCAGGGAGGTATCCCCAATCCTTACCTCACTGTTACCATGGAGGTATCTTCGACCCTAACCTCACTGTTACCAGGGCGGTATCCCCAATCCTTACCTCACTGTTACCAGGGAGTATCCCCAATCCTTACCTCACTGTTACCAGGGAGGGATCCCTAATCCTTACTTCACTGTTATCAGGGAGGTGTCCCCCATCCTTACTTCACTGTAACCTGGGAGTATCCCCAATCCTCACTTCACTGTTACCAGGGAGGTATCCCCAATCCTCACTTAACTGTTACCAGGGAGGTATCCCCAATCAATAACTCACTGTTACCAGGGAGGTGTCCCCAATACTTACCTCATTGTTAGCAGGGTGGTGTCCCCAATCCATACCTCAATGTTACCAGGGGGATATCCCCAACCCTAACCTCACTGTTACCAGGGATGTATCCCCAATCCTTACCTCACTGTTACCAGGGATGTATCCCCAATACTTACCTCATTGTTACCAGGGAGGTATCCCCAATCCATACCTCATTGTTACCAGAGAGCTATCTCCAACCCACCATTATCTACGGGACTAAACACTGTTAGTCACACAACTATATGTTTATTGTGCGAGTTACCACCGTCAATCCGTGTTTTTAGTTCGATCACTAGAGTGCTTTACGGTTTTGTTATCACAATCCTAGTTCTCGATGCGAGAACGTGACATTACATTCTACTTAGATTTACATGACGGGTGTCTTCGATGTACCAAAAACGCTTTCCCTTCCGGAACACCTGGTCTTATTCTACTTGTGCTTTTTCAATGGTCTCCGTGTTAATATCTCCTTTTTTCCTATTTTGCCCTAGTTTGATCGGTTTTGAGTTCGGTTTGTGGTTTTGTTAACACTTTCGTATTCTCTTGTTATTTTTAATAATATAAGATTGACTTATTTTATATATTTTATATATTCAAACAGGGATCCTTGTTCCCTTCACCGTTAGGTATAAACGTACGTATGGGCGTGTGTATACCGGACAGCTGTACCGAAAACGAAACGAGAGTCGCATTAAATGCCCGTAAGTTTTTATGTGAGAAATAATGTTATCTTGCGTCTTAATTTGACATCTACTACATTACTGTTGTTGTCGTATTGACTCTGTTTCGGATTTACTTCATTCGTTGATTGTTTACATCTGTGTAACTAATACATCTTTTACCATCGAACTATCGGAAATGTTTAATTGAAGTTTCTACTTCTCAGGTTATTACGGCTGTGTTGACGGTATACTGTATCTGTGTCATGAATTATGTACTCACTAAGTGTCATGTATTGTGTATAGTACGTCATATAATTATAAAAAGATTATTGTGCGCTCTAACCTGAACTATTATTTTGTTTGTTTAGTTTTGGGTATGGTGCCTCTTGGAAAGATCAAACTCCAAACTTCCAGTGTGAAATGTTCCGAGCCTCCTGAGTACGACAGTCTGGCCATCGGAGGGTTGTAAGTCCTTTCTCGTCAGACTAACTGTCTGACTTGATACAGTGAGTGATATGACTAACATGACACGGTACATAGTCACGGTACCCAGTAAACGACGTGACGACATCATGTTTGATGGTACGCTGGCAATACATATACTATAGGTCGATTAAATGTATTCATGTAAAACAATAAAACGCTTGTCACAACTTACATGATAATGCTGTGAACTATTTTTGACCTACTGTAAGTCATATCTTGTTCCTTCTATTTCAGTACAGTGTGTGGTGTGTTTCTTGCCCTGATGGTGTTGTCGACCTTGTTCGATGTTATGTACTCTCAGCATCAGAAAAAGTCTAATGAGACGGCGCCGTACGAGAAAGATGTTTCTGTAGAGAGTAAATACCGTGTCAACGGGGACATAGAAAAACCTTCAAAACCCAAACAACCAGGTAAAGTGGGAAACGGCCATTTTTGGAATGTTGCTTTGTATTATTTGTATTCCCCCACCAGGTTATCAGTGGCCATCCATTTCTGCTAAGCATGCTTTAACGTAACACAATCTTCAAACGCAGCTCTAAATATATTGGAAATGTACATTGTCTTATTCATGGTCGACTTGTATCTTATACATGTATTATGGGTTTATTTCAAGGCGTGTTAGCGAAACTTGCCATGGCATTCTCTGTGTACACTAATGGCCGGAAGTTGATGAGCACAGGACAGCCAGGTGGCGCTCTTGGCGCCGTCAATGGGATTCGATTCCTCAGTATTTCCTGGGTGATTCTAGGACATGTGTATTCCTCTGCCCTGGCTAACCTTCGTAAGTAACCGATCAGGCTGCAAGACTTTATTACGTAAAATATGCTTTTGAAAGCAGTAATTATACTGCTAAACGATGTAGTGTTAACACAACTAATATTCTTCTTTTCTTGACTAACGGACAACTGAAGTTCATGTTTTGTACATTGTAACGTTTAAAGTTACTTCAATGTATTGCAAGCTACTCTAGAAATTGTCTGTTCTATTAGTTTTCTTACCTTCAGTGTATTGTATACTGTTTACCAGGGTACTTTAACTTTCACAGTAACTGTGCTGTATTGTAAAATGTTTACCAGAGTACTTTAACTGACAAAGTAACTGTGCTGTATTGTATAATGTTTACCAGAGTACTTTAACTGCCAACTAACTGTGCTGTATTGTATAATGTTTACCAGTGTACTTTAACTGCCAACTAACTGTGCTGTATTGTATACTGTTTACCAGAGTACTTTAACTTTCAAACTAACTGTGCTGTATTGCATAATGTTTAGCATTGAAATTTAACTGTTAAACTAACTTTTTTGTATTGTATAATGTTTAGCGATGCACTTAAACTGTCAAATAAGGATGGTGTATTTCTCTATATTTATCTGTTTGCTTATTTTTTATTGTTCATTTTAAAGATTAAAACATTAAAACTGGCATTAGTAAGAAACATGAAAATGATTTCTCCATCAAAATTTTGTAATTGATACAGCATTCCAAAAGAGTTACATTGCACCATATATCTGTTTAGTCCTTCTAAGACTGATTGGTAATGCTAGGAGCTAAATACACATGCAGATGTAAATCACATTTGGTGTAACAACAATTTTCATATATGAGAAACACAGGTAAAGACACCATTTCTGTAAGAGTGTACCACTTGTGTAACGTTTTTTGTCATTTCTGCAGAAAACCCTAGTTTTATGTCGGAATTCATGAGTAACTGGACATCAATGGCTTTGGTCAATGCCCTGCTCTCAGTGGACACTTTCTTCACGCTCAGGTACGTAAATAAAATTATCATATTAATGGAAATCTGAACTCCAATTTGCCAATTCAAATATTAAAAGGTAATTAGATCTATTACGACAAACAATTTTGATTTTGGGAATAAAAGCTTTCGAAGTACATGATTTTAAAAAGTTTGCATTATGAAGAGATGTTTACAGTGAATCTAGATGAATGTCTTATTTATATAGATTTGCATACAATGGGATCTTAACAATGTAAACAGTGGGACCTCCTGGCAGGCATTGGTTAATCAGAAATGGTATATGTTTTTTAACAGTGGGACCTCCTGGGAGGCCTTGGTTAATCAGAAATGGTATATATTGTTTAACAGTGGGACCTCCTGGGAGGCTTTGGTCAATCAGAAATGGTATATATTGTTTAACAGTGGGACCTCCTGGGAGGCCTTGGTTAATCACAAATGGTATATATTGTTTTAGGCCTCCATAATGTCTGTCTTTGTATTTTGAGTCTCCATGGTATCATTACTGTGAGGGTATCATTACTGGTATCATTACTGTGAGGGTCAAAGACGCCTTTCCTTTGTTTTGTGTCCACTTTGTTCCTGTCTTTCTGTAGGTGTCAAATGCATCTTTCCTAGGGTTTGTGTCAATGATATTTATAACTTTTTGTTTTGTGCAATTGGTGATTAAAAAATGTGTAAAGAATCATAATACAAAAACTAAGTCACACACTTCTATTTTAACAGCGGACTACTAGTATCCTATTTGTTCATGAAGGAAATGAAAAAAGAAAAAGGACGTATCAACTGGTTCATGTTCTATTTCCACCGTTTCTGGAGGTGAGTGCATGTATCAACTGGTTCATATTCTAGATCTATTGTCACCGTTTCTGGAGGTAAGTATCAACTGGTTCATGTTCTATATCCACCGTTTCTGGAGGTAAGTACATGTATCAACTGGTTCATGTTCTGTTTCCACCGTTTCTGGAGGTAAGTACATGTATCAACTGGTTCACGTTCTATATCCACCGTTTCTGGAGGTGAGTATCAACTGGTTCATGTTCTGTTTCCACCGTTTCTGGAGATAAGTATCAACTGGTTCATGTTCTATTTCCACTGTTTCTGGAGGTCAGTATCAACTGGTTCAAGTTCTATATCCACGTTTCTGGAGGTCAGTTTCAACTGGTTCATATTCTATATCTACGTTTCTGGAGGTCAGTATCAACTGGTTCATGTTCTATTTCCACCGTTTCTGGAGGTCAGTATCAACTGGTTCATGTTCTATTTCCACCGTTTCTGGAGGTCAGTATCAACTAGTTCATGTTCTATATCTACGTTTCCAGTCCTGGTTACACTTGATTACCTGGCGTGATACATTACTGGGTACACTTGATTACCTGACTGAAACCAGTCCGGGGTACACTTGTTTACCTAGCGGGATACAGTCCGGGGAACTCTTGATTACCTGGCAGGATACAGTCCGGGGTACACTTGTTTACCCGGCGGGATACATTCCTGGGTACATTTGACTACCTGGCGGGATACATTCCAGGGTATACTTGATTACCTGGCAGGATATCGTCCTGTGTACACTTGATTACCTGACTGAAACCAGTCCGGGGTACACTTGTTACCTAGCGGGATACTGACTGGGGTACACTTGTTACCTAGCGGGATACTGACTGGGGTACAATTGTTACCTAGCGGGATACTGACTGGGGTACACTTGTTTACCTAGCGGGATATATACAGTCCGGGGTACACTTGTTTACCCCGCGGGATACCTTCCTGGGTACATTTGACTACCTGGTGGGATACAATTCTTGGGATAGAGTATATCGTAGACATGGTAGTACTCTACAAGACGGATATAATATGAGTAAATACATTTTATATTCTAATAGACTCAGTTCTTGCTTGACGTTATGATTGTTAGATACCAGTTAATATGTTTGCTATTATTTTTAAATGTTTATTTTTCTGCCATATTTAAGCTTGTTGTTTTTTCTCGACGTTTGTTTTTGTTAGGCTTACATCAGCCTATATATTTCTGTTATTTATTGTGGGTTTTTTTCTTTCTAGGCTTACACCAGTGTATATGTTGGTGTTATTTCTTGACGTTTCTCTGTTTCGCTACCTTGGTGACGGACCTTTCTGGAGTAAAACCGGTGTTGAACAAAATTTCTGCAAAGATACCTGGTGGACAAATCTCCTTTATATCAACAATGTCTACAAAAAGAAGGAGATGGTAAATATGTATTGATTTAGCGAGGTACTTTATCGGGAAAACAATGGCACAGATATATAACACATTAGGAGACGATAGCAGGTCAGAACTGTAACGTCATTACCAGTACCTTGTCACTGCTTTACTGTATCTTATGATAATACAGTGTCCATAAAAACGTCTCACCACTCAAACTCTTGACTATGAACCCATTTCGATCTTGTGATGGGAACATAAATTGGAAAATAAAAAGTGTTCAGAGTTTTAATCGATGGATCTATCGTATAATAAAGGCAATATTTTCACTGGAAGAATGTAGCTATAGAGCTCGAGAACAAAACATGTGAGCGGACGTTTAATAGGTCACCAATCTACTTAGTTCTGTTGACTTCCTCTTTAAATACCGTTAACTCAATAAAAGTGTTCACCTTTGACATTATGCCATACAATATAATTGTGTAAACATTTTAAGCATTTTGCCATACAATGTAACAGTGTTACATTTAAACATTCTGCCATACAATGTAACAGTGTTAACATTATAAGCATTTTGCCATACAATGTAACAGTGTTACATTTAAAGATTCTGCCATACAATGTAACAGAGTTACATTTAAACATTCTGCCATACAATGTAACAGTGTTAACATTTAAACATTCTGCCATACAATGTAACAGTGTTACATTTAAACATTCTGCCATACAATGTAACAGTGTTAACATTT